TTGTAGATTACACTGTGCCATCTTGCTTGTAGAGGAAAGAATATACCATTCATCACAAAGTACCAAGTATGTCTTTGCATTTATTACCTAAAAAGAACCTGTCAGGACAGAAATAAGGAAGGCTGCCAAAGTTGACTTGCGTACTTCACTGCTAAGTGAGTAGCTGACCTAAACAAGAAGGATCATATTAGATGCAACACTGCCTAATATACACAAGCTTCTTCCAAGCCACTGAATCATAAAATGATGCAATGACACGGATGATATACATTTCTATCTATTTAAAAATGCTAGCAGCATAAGGATTAAAAATAGTCAATGCTGATTGAGTGAAGATCCACTTTAAAGTGGTTCTAAAGGCCGAAAGTTTTTTTGTACATTAAAGCTTCATCCTAGTTTTTTTTTTTTTTTTAAACAACATTTTATACTTACCTGTTCTGTGCAATAGTTTTGCACAGCATAGCCCCAACCCTCCTCTTCTGGGGTCCCCCTCTGGCACTGTGCGCTCCACCCCTCTGCCGAGTGCCCCACATTGCAAGTCACTTGCTATGGGGACACTTGTGCATGCTTGCTCCTGAGTCCTGCTGTGTGTCCATAAGACACACAGAGCATGGCTCGGCCCCACCCATGCCTCACTGGCTGTGTTTGACAGCAGCAGAAGCTAAGCGAGGGAGGGAGAGAGAGGAGAGAGCCTCTGCTCTTGCACACACTGCTGGATAGAGATCAGGCTTAGGCAAGTATTAGGGGTTGCTGGGGGAAGGGGGTTGGGGAGTAGCACACTGAAGGTTTTTTACATTAATGCAGAGAATACATTAAGCTGAAAAATCTTCAGGCTTTGGAACCACTTTTAATGTGTTCACTGCAGAACATAAAAAAAACCTTCAGTATGGAGCTCCCCCTTATGAATGGAACAAGGCTGCATCATTTTCTGCTTAGAGGGATAGAACAGATGTAAACAAATGATGTAAACAAACGCCATCCATTTACATCTATTCTGTTTTTAGCCAAGAAACATTTTCACATTTATTTTGTTTATCCTTTAGACACCTATGATTGATGTCTGCAGCAACTAAAACAAGTATGTAAACTGAACTGAAGATGGAGGCACAAACTGATGTAGCCTGAATCTGTATTCATTTTTTTTTTTTTCTTACAAAAAAAATGTGACTAAACTTATGATGCCCATTTAAAAAAGGACCCTTCTACTGCTGCTAATCCTCTACTAGCACACAAAGCACAGGCTCTAGATGACTAGAAAGTCAAATGAAAGGTACTTGGAAAAACATTGGCAACTATTTTTTCATAATTGTATTGGTTTTAACAATCCAATACATTGAAAAAAGTAAAATATATAAAAGCAAATGTTGCCAACATCCTATATTTCAGGTTTTATTATTAAAAGTCCTTTCCTTAATTTATTTCTGCAGCTTATTCCCCAACACCTCTGTTCTTTGATACACAGGGCAGCACCTCTATTTTTTGCATTTCCCATATGGGACCATTGTTATTAACCGAATCCCCTCCGCCCTACAGCAGAAATACGGGGCAGCACCGCTGCGCAAAAATCACATACACACAACACACACAAAATATATATATATATATATACACACACACAAATATACACACAATTTGCATTTCCGGGCAGGACGCATGCGCCATTGGTGGCTATGGAAGTCAATCACTGAGTTTCGCCCAGAGATTGATCGCCAAGTAACACGGACAGGGGAGAGACCTGTGTGTAAACACGGGTCTCTCGCCTGCCAGCCATAACATGCTGCTGTGTATTGTTTTTTTTGCACAGCAGAGAAACGCACAGCAGCATGTTTCCCTAGTAAAACACACACAGAGCATGATGTAAAAGCATATGTTTTTAAAGCAAAGAGTCAAAAATTTATTTTCAAAACTGTTGGCCTTTTTTGTTTATAGCGCAAAAAATAAAAACCGCACAGGTGATCAAATACCACCAAAAGAGAGCTCTATTTGTGGGAAAAAAGGACACAAATTTCATTTATGTACAGCGTTGCATGACTGCGCAATTGTCAGGTAACTTAAAAGCGCCGTATCGCAAAAAAAAAAAAAAAAATGGCCTGGTCAAGAAGTGGAGTAAATCCTTTGGGGGGCAAGTGGTTAATATAATTGTTGCACATAATCAAAATTTCACCAGCAGATGGTTGTGCAGTTAAAATCATGAAATTAGGACTCAGCATTTCAATAAAATCTGGGAATTTTTTTATTTTTTGGGGAGGATGAGACCCATCACTTTTACATAAAGCATATAGTAGAACCTTCTGTAAGTTACAAAACACACGTACAGAAAACGCTTTACTACCCTAGGGTACCCTCCTGCTACAACACATAAAAATGCTTCATAGTAAGATATGGCTACTCAATGATTTTACTCATGTCAGTCTTTTACAATCATTTCACATCTTAAAGTATTTTAAAATTTGCTTGACATCAGTGTTTTAAGTGATATCAACAGTCAGGAGACTGGTGCTATTGTAGATTTATGTGTGGGGCGGAAAATGATAGAAATGGAAATTACAGTGTTAGAGATGTTGGCAATTTTCACTGAAAAAACAGCACTCCTCCATCCTGGAGTGATGCACACTGGCAGAGGCTTTCTTTTCTGGCCAATAGTTTGGCTGAAGGAAACATGTTTGACAGCTTAATCTATTAGTTAAAACTCACTGCAATCAGCATAACTGTCCAAAATAGTATTGCGTACATTAAAGCGGACTTTGAGCTAAACAGAAATTATGCTTTTCCTCCATCTCTCCCCACAACCTCCTGGAACACGTCACAGGTCCCAGGAGGCTGCAGGTCCATTGAGAAAGTGCAGTGCTACTCATGCATGCACAGTGAGAAATTGGCTATGAAGGACCAGGACGTCACAGTCAGCTTCCCACGCCCAAGATGGCAGTACCAGGGGACCTGGAGACTGGCAAAAGATCAGCTCGGGTGGGGACAGTGCTGAATCCCTAGACATGCAAGTGAATGTTTATTACAGTACAGTATTTGTACACCATTAAACTTATATTCTATTATGGCAAACAAGAAAAACAGATTCAATCAAAAAAAAAAAAAAAGTGGTAATACTCCGTGTATACGTTCCTACACATTTAAACAGAACTGATATGTATAATTGATTGCTTGGTATGTTTAGCCTTTACTAGCAAAACGAGTGCTTGTATTGTACCTCAATGTCTTAGATACGATTAACCATTTTTTGAGATATTAGTTAGTCTGTATTGTCCCGTAGTGGGCTGGATAAAGTTGGCAATGAATAGCAAAACACTTTCTGTATATTTTTTGCTGAAAGTAATTCTAGTCACAGAAAAAAAAAAAAAAAAAAAAAAAAAAAAAAAAAAGGTGTCATGTCCAGTACGGTGGCCCTTAGGATCCAAGGTACACATCAAATGATCCAGCAACTCCATCAATGACAATCCCAAGTTCTAACTTTTTTGTAATTATCAGAAGTTGCTTAACCTCTTGGTGCAGGTCGCACGCAAATGTGCAGCCTCCTGGCGTCTGGGCCTTGACGCCGAGCAGCCGCACATTTGCGTGCAATTAAGAAAAACATATGTGCTGAGAGTGCACGCCCTGCACACTCTCAGCACACATGTCCGGTACTCACGGAAAGGTCCCGATCCCCCCTTGCGATTGGGACCTTTCTCGATCATGTGACCGCTTGACAGTGAATCAGAGGCGCCGGTGCCAAAGGGTCAAGGGCACCTTCACACTGATGCAGTGCAGTTTTTCCACACTGTGAGTGCAGCGCAATATACGCACAGGTTTCGAGCGGGTTTCCTGCGCTTTGCCATATACTTCTATTGCATCAAGCAGTTTTGGTGCTTTTTTGCATTGCAGAACTTTTGGTGTGTTTTCAGAAAAACGCACCAAAACTACCCAATGCAACAGAAGTCTATGGCAGCGCAGGTAATCCACAGGAAACCCTCAGGCACACTGTGCTGAACCTGCGGTGCAGAAAAACTGCACTGCATCAGTGTAAAAGCACCCTAAGGGCCAGTTCACACCATAAAAATGCACTCTGGATGCATTCTGGATATGTTTATGCTCACAGTTCACACCACATTCTGGTGCAGTTTTAATGCAGTTTGTTATGTTCCAGTACAGTTCTGTGCAAAAAAAAAAAAAAAAAATCAGCATTTTCAACTTTTTTTTCTGCACTGGAAACTGACTGCAGTGGTGTGAACTAGGGCCATTGGAATACATGGAAAACACTATGCATGCATTTTTGCTGCAGAAAACAAAAATGCACTGGACTGCATCTAGTGTGAACTAGTCCTAACTGGGGAAAATAAACTTTATAAAAACATGCCCAAGAAAACCTGAATCATGTTAGGCTAATTTTATAGCAAGTATGAGGTTGACTTGAATGCAAAAGTGCACATCAACACAATATAATATGGGATTGAACACAACCAATTTCCTAATGTAAATAAATCCCAAAGGAGTAACTGCTTAGAGGTGCCTCAAAACAGTTTTTTTTTTTAATTTAGTAGCGTGCAACCCAAATCTTATGGGAAGAGAGAAAAGCAATGGAATAAATGTAATGTTGCCCAGAGTAACCAATCAGGTTTTAAAGTTTACCTTCTCCAGTTCTTTCCACATACACAAACAGCCTCCTATGGGTTCTCCTTCAACCGTTTTTACATTAATGTAAACCTATTCACATCCTTTGTCTTTATCAGTCAAGCTTGATAGTTAATTTACATACAAATTTTAAATGGAACAATTCTCTAATTTAGATGCTCATGAACATGTTTCTGGTGTCTTATAACTGCCAACATAGTCATATGCCCTTGGAGAGTGGTCTTTGCCTGCTTTTTGTGCCCCTATTTCCCTTAAAAAGGAATTTTATGCTATCCACTGTGTAATTTAATACGGTGGTAAAACCACTTGTGACGATATTTGAAAAAATGGTCTTCATTCCAACAATTCAGCAGCTCTTACTGGGTAGCTTTAGTACCTACCTTGGATAAGTACTCCCTCATGACTTGAATGAAGTAGGGCATGGCAAAGTCCATAATGTTGTGCCTCCACGCTGTTTCCAGGACAACATCTGGCCGCAGCAGGTCATAGCAGGTAAAAAGACAAGCGGCAAAGCATTCTCTCTTCCCTTCAACCAAAAACCATTGCAGAAGTTCTTCTGCCAGTTCTGTGTCTTTGGATTCAGAGGCGTACTGCATAGCATCCTAGAAGAAAAAAATGGCTTGTGAAAGTTAGTGTTGTTGCAGCCTTTAACCTCCCTGGCGGTATGATTATTTCAGATTTTTGGTGCTGAAAGCGGTACCATTTTTTTGCATGGAAATATGTATTTTTTTAATTGTAGGCCTGTAATTTTTAGGAAAAACTCACTGAAATCTGTCCGAACAAGAGTCTAGTAAACATCCCGGGTATGATAAAATTTGAAACACAAAATCATAAATTATAATTTAATAAATAATCATAAAAATATAAAATTTAATTCAATAATATAATCAAACCAAAAACACTGAAATTTGAAATATAGCACCAAGTTCGCACATCACTGAGCTCAGTCGCAGAATCGTTTTCAGTGTCTGATGACGAATTTCCCCCACGAATCATCACTCAATTCTGCACGTGGTTCTGATTTACTATCGCTGTTCTCTAGCCGGTCTAAAACTGCTTTTGACCTAAAGGGACACTTTTTGGACGCCATGGACATTTCTCAGTTTCCAGGCAGAAAGAACAGACAAAATGCAGGCAGGGCGCCGGACAAAGCACTCAGGACAAAATGTATGTGAAATTGGTTGAGACAGCAATGTTTTACTATGTAAAATGTAAAAAAAAAAAAAAAAAAAAAAAAGACATTTTTTAAAATTTTTAAATTTCCCGCCGCCGGCGGCAGCGCCCGTACGTCCCGACGTCACAGGACACAAGCCGGATGCCGGCATCGGCCGGAGGAGATGGCTGGGGACGCTGCAGAGGACACATCGCGGGAGCGCAGGGTAAGGTAAGTGAAGCACAAATGCCGGAGCAGTGCCGCATGGTATTCCCGAGTGTAGCTCGGGGTTACCGCTCTTGGTACTGAAATGTTACCCCGAGCTACACTCGGGAATACCGCTAAGGAGGTAAAAACAACCAACACTATCATTGCTGTACATTACCACATCTAGGCATGCAGACTGCTTCTACAAACATTTGTGAAAGAATGGATCGCTCTCAGGAGCTCAGTGAATTCAAGTGTGGTACTGTGATAGGTTGTCACCTGTGCAATAAGTCCATCCATGAAATTTCCTTGCTACTAAATATTCCACGGCCAGCTGTTAATGGTATTATAATTAAGGATGCATCAAAATTTCGGTGGCCAAAACACCCCTATCGACCGTTATGGAAAAAAAAAGCACCAATACAGGGAAAAAACCCCTCCCCTCGCTAGTTCTCAGCCTTACCTGAGAAACCATCGAACGATCCCAGCACTGGGCATAAATATTAGTGAAGGAAAGATGGCCTCCACTCAGAGAAGAAGGTGGTTTTAAAGTGCCCCGTGCTAGCACGTAGTGGTGACCACATACGTAGGCCATGCCCACATATGTAAACTGTGTTCAAACACACACACGTGAGGTATCGCCATGAACATCAGAGCAAGAGCAAGAATTCTCGCACTAGACCTCCTCTGTAACTTTACACTGCTAACCTGTAGAAATTTTTAAAGCATCACCCATGGAGATTTTTAAGTACCGTAGTTTCATGACATTCCACGTGCATGCACAATTTTAAAGCATGACATGTTGGGTATCTATTTACTCGCCGTAGCATCCTCTTTCATATTTTAAAAAATTGGGGTATATATAGTGTTTTTTGTTTTTTTAATCAAAGTGTATTTTTTTCCAAAAACTATATATTCATTTTTAAAAACTGCGCATTTCGGCCAAGTGCATTTTGAATTTTAGTTTTCAGCACCAGAATTTCCATTTCGGTGCACCACTAATTATAACAAAGTGGAAGAATCTGGGAACAACAGCAACTCAGCCACAAAGCGGTAGGCCACGTAAAATGATAGAGCGGGTCAGCGCATGCTGAAGCGCACAGTGTGCAGAAGTTACCAACTGTCTGTAGAGTCAATAGCTAAAGACCTCCAAACTTCGTGTGGCCTTCAGATTAGCACAACAGTCCGTAGAGAGCTTCATGGAATGCATTTCCATGGCCGAGCAGCTGCATCCAAGCCTTACATCACCAAGTGCAATGCAAAGCCTCGAATGCAGAGTTGTAAAGCACACCGCCACTGGACTCTAGAGCAGTGGAGATGTGTTCTCTGCAGTGACTAATCACACTTCTATGTCTGGCAATCTGATGGACGTGTCTGGGTTTGGCATTTGCCAAGAGAACGACACTTGCCTGACTGCATTGAGCCAAGTGTAAAGTTTGTTGGAGGGGGGATTATGGTGTGGGGTTGTTTTTCAGTGGCTGGGCTTGGCCCCTTAGTTCCAGTGAAGGGAACTCTTAAGGCATCAGCATATCAAGACATTTTGGTCAATTTCATCCTCGCAAGTTTGTGGAAACAGTTTGGGGATGGCCCCTTCCTGTTCCAACAGTACTGCGCACCAGTGCACAAGGCAAGGTCCATAAAGACATGGAAGAGCGAGTTTGGGTTGGAGGAACTTGACTGACCTGCACAGAGTCCTGACCTCAACCCTATATATATATATATATATATATATATATATATATATATATATATATATATATATATATATATATATATATATATATATATATATATATATATATACACACACACATATATATATATACATACACACACACACACACATGTACATATATATACATACACACACACACACACACGTACATATATACATACACACACACACACACACACACACACACACACACACACACACACACACATATATATATACATACACACACACACATATATATATACATACACATATATATACATACACACACACACACATATATATACATACACACACAGTTTTCCTGTTACTACAAGAAACTGTTACTAAGAAGTGGGCTTCCAAAACAATGGACAACCATGATCCAAATGGTATCAAATTTAAAAGGTCCCTCTCTTTACTAAGGGATGATGGTAGAACACATTCAAAAGAAAAGTCCAAAACAGATTTCACTACTTAAAACCCCTTAAATATAAATTGTCACCCATTTTAAACTTCTAAAATGAATGCTAGTCTAAGCCATACATACACACCACACTTTAATTAAGCAACATGCAAAGCCTATATTAAATACAAAAAATCTGTTACAAAAACAAAAAATTAGAAGGGAAAAACCGTATTAGCAACTTGAAAATCTTGGTAGAACAAAGACTATTCCCAAACTTGTCTGATCTTTATTTTAACCTCCCTGGCGGTATGATTATTTCAGATTTTTGGTGCTGAAAGCGGTACCATTATTTTGCATGGAAATTTGGTGTTTTATATTGTAGGCCTGTAATTCTTAGGAATAACTCACTAAAATCTGTCTGAACAAGAGTCTAGTAAACATCACGGGTATGATAAAATTTGAAACACGAAATCAAATTATAATTTAATAAATAATCATAAAAAATATTATAATAAATAATAATAAATTTAATTCAATAATATAATCAAACCAAAAACACTGAAATTTGAAATAGCGCGCCACGTTCACACATCACTGAGCAAAGTCGCAAAATTGTTTTCAATGTCTGATGACGAATTTCCCCACGAATCATTATCACTCAATTCTGCAAGTAGTTCTGATTTACTATCGCTGTTCTCTAGCTGGTCTAAAACAGCTTTTGACCAAAAGGGACGCTTTTTGGACGCCATGGACATTTCTCAGTTTCCAGGTAGAAAGAACAGTAAAAATGAAGGCAGGGCACAGGACAAAGCACTAGGGACAAAATGTATGTGAAATGGTTTGGTACAGTAATGTTTTACTATGTGATTTTAGTGATTTTTGTGAATGTCACTTTTTGTAATTTTCAAATTTGCCGCCGTTCCGTCCACTATACGCCCCGACGCTTGCAGAGGACGGAACCCAGATGACAGATGCTGGCATTGGCCGGATTAAATTGCCGGGGACACTGCAGCAGGGACATCGCGGGAGCGCAGGACAAGGCAGTGTGACCGAGGGATCGTGGAGCAGCGCCGCATGGTAAGCCCGAGTGTAGCTCGGGGTTACCGCTTGTGGTACTGAAAATTTACCCCGAGCTACACTTGGGAATACCGCCAGGGAGGTTAAACAACTTCATCCAAATTATATGATTGTATCTAACCTTGTATAAGCAAACGTATGCTTACATTTCTGTTCATTTATTTAAAGGCCATAAACTGTACAATCAGATTGTAACATGTGCAGCCAGAATAAGAGCAGATGCCACAAGATGCAAAGATGTTTGCCATTTCTTGTTGGCCAGTAAAGCCCCTTCAATGCATTTTTCCGCACACACCATTTCCCCACACCCATTTATTTAACATTTTGAATATATATCTTTCCTAAAAGGAATGAAGTCTTGAGATGTACACAAGGTGCAGTCTGCCTACACAGTAGTTCAATGTTTCATCCAGACATTGCTGTACTGAAGCAGTCCACCCCATACCCTTCGCCTGCAAATTTGTAATGCTGGAACATGTCTGAATAGATTCTGGAGCACCCATTAAAACTGAATATGAAAAACAGATGGATGATCATGACTTTGTAAACACACCTTATACAGTCTGTCTTTTTTGCACAGCTCCACACTCTGTTTCCAGCGATTGTTGCCCTTGAAGAGGTATGCTGCAATCCTTCTGAATTCAATAAGTTCATGTTTTTCCAAGCGTTGAGCAAGAGAAATATTGTCAAAGTTGTCATATGCATCTATAGATGTACGGAGTGCCTTGAAAAGAAAACAAATTACTTAAAATCAAATAGAAAAGCACAGATTTCCTGCTTTAGAAAATGTTCCAGTGACTAATAGTTGGGAAAAAAAAAAAAAGAAACATTTGTTACCTGGTAGTCCTCTTCTGTAATGAAAAGGTTGTTCAGAGACTCATTCACAGATTTGTTGTTATGGTTCTGCACCGAACGAAGGTATGGTTTGACTAGAGGAAGCTGTTTTACCTACAAAGAGAAAATCAGCATTTTTTAAGAACAGTTCTATACATAAAATTGCCCCAACTAAATTTATTGCATACCAGAGCAGATACTAAATATGTAAGCTTCTGTCTACTTGTACAATAATCCTCTATTAATGTGTTTGTTTTGGACATTAGATTTTCACTGCCAGAAACTTAGGCAAAGTTCTAGCAGTGGCCATTATGTTTATCATAAACCTAAACTTCAGATGTGGTGTAAACTAATACACAAAGCAGATGTTTGCACTTTTCAAAATTCTTAGCATCAATCTAAAAAAGCTTGAGCCTTCCTTATTGTGACTATTTGGCTTCACAACCAACAAGGAGTCCAGTGTGATTTACCTTGGAGAAATAGTTGACTGCACGGGTGTGATCCAGTCTGGGGGACAGCACCATCAAGAGGTCATTGAGAAGCAATGGTTTGAACTCTAAGTAGAATTGTATCGCTCTGTAATACAGCTCCACGTTGGCCACCTAGAAAGAGAAACCAGTATATGTTTTTGTTTATTATTTGCAATCTTCAGTACAAACATTTTTAAGGCTTGCTTTTTCAAATACAATCATAAAATTTTGCATAAAAATCTAATTTAACGTCTCCACCATTTAGATGGACCAATAGACACCTTTTCACGTATTTATCAGACTAATCCTAAAGTGACATTAAATGATATCCTCATTCTCCAACAAAAAAATCTATTTTTCATGATATAATTTCTTACTGTTTTTTTGGCACTTTGTAATGTCCTCTGTGAGGTCCTGAACCTCTCCTTGTCCCCCTTACTTCTGCTTATTTGGAATGAGCAGTGAATGTTTGCTGCAGTCAAGTGGTAATTTTTTTGGAGTTTTTAAAAAAAAAAAAAAAAAAAAAAGCAAAGTATACATTCCTAACAGAGTTTTGTGTCATTTTAACAGCGAACAGCAGCTAACTTAATGCACATAGCTGAAGAGAAGCAAGTCATCTCTATTCCCTCCAAACGGTCTCTGATCTACAGGGCCTCAAAACGGACTTTTAAGGACAAACCGCCTAAGAAAAATTGGCAATCGCTGTACCCTTAGGATGTTAGCAGTTTATGCCTATCAGCACAGTGGCTTAGGTAGTACTTCTGCCTTGCAATACCAGGGGGTCCTTGGTTCAAATCCCAGCCGGGACACTATCTGTATGGAGTTTTCATATTCTCACTGAGCTTGCATGGGTCTCCTCTGGGTATTCCGGTTTCTTCTCAGACTCTAGAAGTCATGCCTGACTCAAACAAGTGTTGCCAAGATGGCTACCTCACCTCCTAAGTGCTTTGAGTCCCAGTGGGAAAAGGCGATTTAAAAAAAAAAAAGGAAGGACACCAGGATATTCTACTTCGACTAGAAGCACAATAAAGAACATGCACATAAAAAAAACAGTCATATGGACAATTAGTACCTTAGTTATGATGTCTTTAAACTGCCCTTCTTTCCATGCATCTGTAGGATGGCTCATCATTGTAATAATTGCGTTATCATACTCTTCATATTTATCATATAAAAATACCAATTCTGACCACAAGTGAGCTTGTTCTGCTGCCCTCAGCACCTGTAAAATGAGTGAATACGTTGTTTACGAACTTCTTATACAGAATAGATGCGATTCCCTGTAAAAAGTTACACCATTAAAAAGGTGTACACAAGGAGATCTGCATTACCTTGGGAATATTGACCCTGGACCAGAACAGCTCTAAGTGCTCTCGCATTTTCTGTGGTTTGAATTTTGAATACAAAATGGCTAGCTCTGTAAACATTCCCATATGTGCACGCTCCAGGCCTAGGGCTGCTTCAAGCATGGTGATCAGCTCTTCGAAATAGCCACGGTCCTGTATAAGAAAAAAAAAAAAAAAAAAAAACAAAGTTAATATGGCATTTCATGACCTGAATCTTATATAAATAACCCATAAGTTTGTGACAGGTTTTTACAAATATCTGTCTGGTTACCTGATAGTAATTTATTAACTCCTCCAGTTCATCAGCATGTACCACAATGTGAAGACCACACATCTGGGCAAGACGGAACTCTTTACCATCCACACAAGCAAAACAAACCTGAAAAAAAAAAAAAAAAAAAAAAGACTGGTAAAAATTTAGCATTCCATACAAGCTCCCTAAAAAAATTAAGGGTGGAAAAATCATTATTTAATTCAGAAGTTTAAGTTTTATGGCACATTAGCTATGTATTGGTTTCTAAAGAGAGATAGATGTGCAGCTTTATAGAAAAAGTGACTTAAAAATTTCCAATTAAAAAAAAAATGGTCTTTTGCAGTCTTGGGAAAATTCCCTTAGACCTGCTGACTAACTTTGAATGAAAGTTCTGAGATGTGAGTATACAAGAGGGCTACAGCCTGATATAAAAAAAAAAAAAAAAAAAAAAAAAGTGTAATTATCAATGCACGGACCAATAGCGGTTGTACAAACTGGATGGACAACATGATGGCGCTTGAGACACTGATAACAAATTAAACTTTTGATGCATAGCTATACAGTGACTGCTGTAATTTGTATTGAACTGTGATCTATCTCAGCCTATGCACTTTATTATTCTTATCAGTAATCAAACAGGTTTGTATTCTTAGGTGTTGAGCAGTTTGAAGCGAGTTGTCAGTTGAGAATATCGAGGGGTTTATGTACATATTTTCTATAATCACCTCTTTCCAGGTGCGAGTACTGTTTGCCTTTCTAGCACCATCCACAGCAGCCTGATACTCTCCTAGGTGAACGAGGGTGGACGCCAAACGGCCAAAATTTGAAACATTATTGTAGAGCAGTTTAGCAGCATCGTACATTTTTTCATCATAGCAGCGATCACCAACCTAAATTAAAGAAAATATAAATCCTGAAATTAAAATCGTTAAAATGACTATGATACAATGTTGATTCTAACAGTGTCAAGGTAAATAATTGTAAATATGCAAAATGAAGGCCAGTGCATTATACACTAATACAGTGTTTCTAAACTTTTTTTCAGTCAAGGCACCCTTTCATATGATGGACAGTCCCAAGGCATCCTTTCAAAAATGGACAGTCCTGAGGCACCCTTTCAAATGATGGACAGTCCTGAGGCACCCTTTCAAATGATGGACAGTCCTGAGGCACCCTTTCAAATGATGGACAGTCCTGAGGCACCCTTTCAAATGATGGACAGTCCTGAGGCACCCTTTATACTTATGGAATTAAGAAGCAGCCCATTCTAAAATGGGAAAAACTATTCTAATAGTTTTATATAACGCAGCAACATCCACACATGTAGAACATCCAACGTTAGAGGTGATTTATTCTTCTAAAGCAAATACACTTTCGCACACTGTCACCGACTAGTATTCCTAGGTTTCTCTTCTCCATCACTCAGCTAACGTGACCCCAGCACTGACAGAGAGGGGGCAGGGGAGGGTTAAACTAGGATGCTGTGCCAGCAGCTGACATCCTCTTCAACTGATGTTATTGGTTATCATTGGTTGGCTAGAAGGTCGTAATAGTGCACAATGAAAACCTGTGGCTTTGTGTAACTAATAGGCAGGCTTATATACAAACTTTGGGCAATTTTTAGATATTTTGCCAAGGCACCCCTGAGGAAACCTCGAGGCACCTTGTTTGAGAAACGCTGTACTAAGAGATAAAGCTTTATATCAATAACAATTTTAGAATTTTTTTTTCTTTTTTAAATAGGTTTTAATTCCTCCTCAAGTTATATCATAGGGCAACAAATTTCTGCTAATCTATTAGCTGCGCTTTGGTTTTTCGAATGATAAAATCTGTTTAGCTAGTTTTCCACACAGCTTTTTGGCCATTTCTCCCTTCCTGTACTAAGTCGGACAGGGACCCATCTGACCAGGTACTTTCATAAGATTTTCATAAGAGTGTTAGTGAATGTAAACGTATATTACATACCTGCTGAATGTGGGCATTGTTTGGTCCATTAATAAATTCCTCAAGTTCAGTGAGCCGGTTAGTTTTAGCCAGAGCAAAGATGAGCTCGGTTTCCACATAGGATTCCCTTGCCTTCTTCCGGGCCATCTGCAGATATTTAACTAGCTCTTCCCAATTTCCTGTGTATCATAACAATGTAAGAGAAGAATCCAAAAACATGCATATGACATATAGCAAACCTGGACACAGCAAAGTACATTTCTATTCCTGATCTAGCACAAATGAAAAATGACTAAGGATAGGACAGCTGCCATACAGCATTGTGATAAACAGCCATTCCAGGTAAAATGAAAATTTGACTTTTTTTTACACAGTCCTTAACCTTAACATCTACTTTTCTTCAAATTGCCCATAGCCCACTATTACAGATGTAATCTAGTATTGAAAAATAAAAGTCAAGTTCACCTTTAGTGAAAAAATAACAAATGCACATACTTTTTGCAGTAATAAAAATGTGCATTATTTTCTCCCCCAGGAGCCCACAAAGCATTGCACCTGTCCTCCAGCTTTCTTGCCCGTACCTCTGTACGGCCTCTGTTAGAAAGCTAAAGGAAGTGTCAGTGGACTATGAGGGTACTCATTAGCGCCCATGCAGCCCATTGCGAACTACAAGTCTGTCTGCCGTAGTGACGGACAGGACTTGTAGTTTTTTAATTCACAGATCTCTGTGACAGATCAGTGATGAGGTGCTGAAGCATGTGACACCCCAAATACAGTGGTAGCGTGTAATGTTTCAAACATGAACTTATTCTTTACGATAGAAAGCACTTATGGCAAACACCTGTGTATTTGCCAACAACTGGATTAAAGTCATTGGGCAAATTAATGTGAGGTTAGAAAAAGAGAACCACCTCCCGAACAGGTTATGGGAGGAATGATCTTCCTTCATAGACCGCTATCAACAAAACAGGAGTCCCTGTAGGAAAATATCACATCTAATCTGTGGAATATTTAAAAATGCTTGAAATTTCCCATCGCTTTCTTTGTGACAATGAGCTTCAGAACAAATAGGCTGAATTTCCACAGCAGGACACAGTCAGCAACGATTCCTGATTGAAAAGTTAGGTTTTAATTAGGCTGTAAGTTTCTATTCTGAAACTGGGGAGACCATAAAATGGGACTACAGGGATATGCAAAAACATTAAGGAAACAGAAATTTACCACTAGCATCAGCAGCCTGTACCACTTCCATATAAGAAGAAGGATCATCTGCTTTAATATAGGAGTCAATTGCTTCTTTAACCATTCCTTTCTGCAACTGTGCCTTTGCCAGCTGACTCCATACAGCTGGTTCATTACAGCGTTCAGCAAATTCATAAGCACGGTCCAGGTTTCCAATATGTTCAATCAAGACCTAAGGAACAGAAGATAAATGAATCCTCAAATTCATAGAATATAAGTTAAAAAAAATATCAGGTATCACATGCCGTACCTGTACAGCAGATGTGTTCACATCAAATTTCCTGAAAATGGCAAAGGCTTCCTCAAATAGCTCATTACTGATAGCGATGTTTGCAATATCAGGAGCATCATAGTTATCCAGGCGGTTGATGTATTCCATGACTCTAGTACGATCGGCTTTTATAGCAGTCAGGATCAACAAGTTTTGGAGGTTCCTGTGAATAATACAGCCAGGTTACATGCATCTAAACCAGCCTCTCTCAACTAGAGTTTTGTAGAACCTGTAGGTATTTCCTCATCCTCCATGAAAAATGCTTTTCAGTTTACTCATCCTTAGGCGGGTTGTTTCATTAGTTTTTTTTTCTTTATTCTCGCCCTTTTTGCTTTTAACAGGTGATCCCGTTGGTATCACACAATTCCTTTTCTAGGGTGACAACGTTCAGCCATTGTACTATATTCTTTGGAGGAGCAACATTGTCACCCTAGGAAAGGAAATGTGTTATGATTACAGAATTCACCTCATTTTTCAAATCCATAAAATTGGAAAGGGCTCCCCCTAGGAGTGTACTGTACTTCACAGAGGTGACCTGTGAAGACTGCAGAGCTCAAAGGATTTCTAATGGGATCAACAGTTCTTGTTTTCCAAGGAACAGATAAAACAAAACACTTCCAAAAAGGTATAATAAATTAATTTATGAATAAAATACAAGGAACGGAAATATTTCAGTAAAGTGCTTGAAGCCCAACAGGTAAAAAAAAGGCACTATGTTTATTGTGATGGCATTAACATTTCTTGCAGAATTAAAAAAACAGGACTATGGAATGTTATTTTGTTCTTGGCCATCACATCTGGTAGATAAAGTATATTTTATTACCTGTGTTCACTGAAGACAGAGTTGTCCAAAACAATTTTCTCCAACAGCTCAATGAGCTCATTTGGTAGGTCTGCAGTCATGAAGGCTTTCACTGTGACAGACACCTCCTCGGGGTCTTGGGTTTCTGGCAAAGCTGTCTGTACAACCTGAAAAAGGAGGTAACAAAATGAAAAAAAAAAATCTCACTGTCTTGAGGCCCTATCCAGTGTCTCTCCCAAAATATAACATACCTGGTCAATCAGAGGCCTCCTGTATGGGTTGCTTTCTAACAAGACACTGGCCCACAATTCTGGATCTTTACGGCGTACTAAATATCTTGAAAGGCTTTTGAACAGAGAATTTTCATTGCAAACCTAAATAAAAGCAGACAGAGGTTCTCGTTCACAGTAACTCAAGACAGTGCAGGTGTTTATAAATTTTCTTTAGCAGTAAAATTAGCCAGAACTACGGGTATTTAACAGACAAAAAAATTTACAGCTAAAAATTCAGAAATTTGATCTAGAGACCGGCATAGACTCATTTATATACTACATTCCTGTGGGTTGTGGATCATACCTGAAAAGGTTAAAAACATCCTCATATGCATAGGAAAAGCTCAGGAAGCAAAAAACCTTTTCTCTTAGAATTTGCAAAACATGCATACTGCAGTGATCAGTTGCATTTAAGGAAACCTTTTAAAAAGAAAGTTTTATCTTAATTCGGAGAATGACATACATTGATTAGTTCCAGATCACACTGTCCTCGCTCATATGACACACATGCCAAATGGGGATCTCTCTTTTCACAATACTTTCCAACAACACGGCTGTCATAATATGGGTTTTCACGGAGGAAACGTTCTGGATTATTGTTGCTGTCTATGTAAATCTTTGCCAAAGCATTGTGAGTGGCTGGCTCCTCACAGCCTTCATGGATTCTGGATTCCAACCATGGCAGAAGCAGCTTTAACCTGAAAAGGACAAAAAGACATTACCTATTTTTTCTTAAAAAACAATGGGTATAATATTCAACCCCAAATATTTGATCTGAATAAACAGGAAAGTTCAAGCAGAATTACAGCTTTACGTATTAATTCTGTGTGTCAGTGAAGTATATTAAATGACAGACTACACCTTCGGGACACCTTGGTTCAATCACGATCAAACTGTGGTGACACTTTCTAATATGACAGCTAGATGGGCTAAACCGCACTGAAGATTGAATGAGTTTTTTCTAGGTAACTAATCTTACTGTTTAGATGTCGTCTCCCAGCTAAAATCCAATTTTGACACCAACAAAGCTGAAAAATACTACTCCGGCCATCAATTGTGCAGCTCATAAAGCCTCCTTGAGAGGTTTCCCAATTCAGATCTTGTCCAGACTTAAGAAAGCCAGAGAGATATTGATTTCTTTTAAATCTAAACAATATGAAGACCTTGTTGCCCAACACAAAACTTTCTTCTCACCCAGCTCTACTTACTAAACTGGAACAGGTTCGCACAAAACTTAACGCTGGTCTCACCACAAAAGCAGAGAAACAATTAAGCTGGATGAAAAATTCTTTACAAAGAGAAACAGGCCCGGCTCCCTACTAGCACATAAGCTTACCCCTCGCTACTATCATTCGGCTCTTCCAAAAATTAAACCATCAGGGGGCTCCCTCTCCCAGGACCCTCATAAAATGCTTCCTGAATTCTACTGTTTTTAATCCACCTTATACAGCTCACTCAAGGAGATCTGTCAGACCTGTAATTTCTTGATATCTCTCCCTCTTCCCCTTCTTAAGGAGGCCCATAAAGATCTTATGGACCAACCTATCACTTGTGAGGCAATCCAGATGGTTATTCGAACGCTTGCTCTACAAAAATCGCTTGGCCCCGATGATCTACCCAATAGCTATTCTAAAACATTTTTGGAACAGCTTATTCCGCATATTTCTTTATATTTTAATCTATCTACGGGACGGTGGTGTGGTTCCTGATGATGAAAATAGAGCATATATAAATGTCATCCCTAAACTGAATAAAGATACTATTGACGTTCATAACCATCATACTATCTCGCTTATTAATTGCGACTTGAAAATTCTTACTAAAAACTTTTAGCCTTGTGTCTTAATACCTTCTTGGAACATTATTATATTCATAATGATCAATTTGGTTTCATTTCGAAATGGCAGACGTTGGACCAGATACAGAGCTCCATCAATATAGTCTCAGCAGTTGGTTCTAATTGGGATAATTCCTCTTTCAGAGAGCTCCTGTTGCTTTTATTATATCTCCACAAGGCCTTTGATAGCCTAACCTGGGATTACCTGTTTTCCACATTGGAGGCCTGTGGATCTGGTCCCTCATTCATCTCTTTATTGAAAACGCTATACAGTGCTCCTTCTGCTCAGGTCTGCGGGGCTATAAGTCGTCAGCCTTCCCTATTTGTCAAGGCACAAGACAGGGCTGCCCACTCCTCCCATTGCTATTTGCATTTAAGGATTCGTTTAACGGCTTCAGTCGCAGATCTTTATAAAGCCAATTACCAACTCTTCAAGTGACTTCATGAAGATCTTCAATGCTGGGCAAAATATTCCTCATCTTGGTTTGGCAGAATTAACTTTATAAAATGAACTTTCTTACCAAGGATTCTTTATTATTTCCGGACTCTTCCCATAGCAGTCCCGAGGGGCGATTTACTGCAGTTACAGACCAAAGTGCTTCGGTTTATATGGGGCAATCGGTGACCCCGAATGAATAGATCAATATTATATGCTTCAAAAATCTAGAGGTGGCCTTTGCCTCCTGAACCTGCAGGCTTACTACCAGGTGTCTCAAACCACTCAGCTCTCTTACACTATGGCCAAGGGTCCTGCGCCCTTGTGGGTCTCACTCAAAGCTCTTTCTTGCCACACTGCTGCAATTCGCTCCTTGATGTGGATGACGAGCCACCTACGACCTCCTATACTATGCCCTACTCTGTCTCATGCTGAGTGTTTGGGATAGGATACGGCATCACAAGTCGCTAGCATCTTTACATACCTCGTTGGCCCCGATCTTTTATAACCTAGAGTTTGTCCCAGGGATGGTCCATACTTCATTCCAATGGTGGTTTAACAGAGGTCTCCTGCGGATAGATTACCTTGACGGAGACAAACCATACTCCTTACAATATCTTGTAGATAAATTTCAGATGCCTTCTAGTGAAGTCTTCCGATATTATCAACTTAGATCCTTCCTACGCTCTAAGCTAGCCCTATTAATGGACCCCTCACTCTCACCCAATTCGAATTGTCTTGTCAGGCAAGAGGCCTCTTATGGGGACAAATTTCAGTGATGTATACCTCCATCACTGATCCTACTGCAAAACTTTCATATATGCTTCAATGGGAGAGGGATCTGAACTTCACCTGGGAATTGTCTGAATGGCAGAAGGTGGAATATGCCTTATCCACAATATCTATCAACACCATCTTGATAGAATCAAACTTTAAAAAAACAAAAACCCTTACCACGCTGGTCCCTACTCACATAGCCAAAAGGCACCCCACTGCATCTCCTCTATGTTTTTGACAATGCGGGCAAATGGGAACTATGTGTCACAAATGGTGAAAATGCCCTATAGTGACTAGATTTTGGATCATGTTTAATTTCATCTACTCAGTGACGGTAGTAAATATCCACAGATCCCCAAGCAGCAGTCCTCTTTCATAAGCTACCAAATGAGGTTCAAAAGAAATCTGTGAAATCTTCTACATGTTCCTGGTAGCACGTATCACTATAGCTAGGCATTTGCAGCGGTAGGTCAAATCATTTGATTATATGAAGCAAAAGCTCAGTTGGATTACGGTCAATGACAAACTCCCCTGTACCCTTCATATTACAGCTAAGGGCTCATTCACACTTGACTAATTTCTAACTCTTGCCAAAACGCCCCCTGTAACATTTGACAGGCACTTGGGAAGCGATTTTAACGCTCCTCAAACGCTCCCCAAATGCCCTATGAGCGTTTTTGAGGCATTTTCCAAGCGTTAAAACTGCACCAAACACCTATAATGAATTTTAATGGTATTAACACCCCACAAACTCCTGCCAGGCTTTTGAGGAGCATCACCATAGACTTGAATGGCAGGCTTCAACTCCTCTTGACTGGACATGAGGTGTCAATTTTGCAGCGATGCCAACGCTTCAGTGTGAACAGCACTGTGTGCTGCCATGTGTAGAATTTTCATTGGAATTTGAGGCTCATTAAAAAATCTTCCCAAATGCCTAACGCCTGCTAACAAAGCTAGTGTGAACTTAGCCTAAGAAATTTGACAGGACATGTGACCCATGGATTTGGTATTTGTCAGCTTCGTAACCGGCTTCCCTCTCTCTTTTCCCCCTTCTTTGTTTTGCCCCTCTCTTTTTCCTCCTATCTTTTTCCTCCCTCTAAATTCCCCCTCCTCCCCTTTTTTAAATGTCATTACAATTCTAATCTCAGGCATTGAGTCCCCTTTCACAGGTATATGAACTATCTTATTTGTTTTTGTGGATTTTTACATCATTGTTGTTTTGGCTGAAGAATGGAAGCATTGTTACAATAAGTATCTGTTGTCTGCCCTTTTAGGTCATTACTGCTCATTAGTTTACCTCCTTACTTGTCTGACCTGTATCCATCTTGATAATTACGGTCTTTTAATTTTGCTATTGTTGCTATTTATTCACCCTTTTTTCTCTGTATTTGTGAACTTCAATAAAAATATTATAAATTGACAGACTACAGCATGCAGAAGATAAATTGAAGATCTCTCCTTAGACCAAAAAGCCATTCAGGTGCAAAAGTTAGGAGGTTAAAGAACAAACCTGCATGAAATGGGTTCCCTGTCAAACTGTATTAAATACACCCTCCTATGTCATCCATAAACTTTACAGTTAAAGCTGAATGCTCCCCACTGCAAGGATTAACTTTTGCCTGGGGGTCGATTAATAAAAAGGGAGCGAATAGGGTAAGTATATCATCTTACTCATCATCCCCTAGGTAAATAAAGCAGTGGGGAGAGGGGGCTCACTGTAATAGTAAAAGTTTTTTTTACCTGGAGTTCAGCTTTAGAAAGGTAAACCCCTTTCCTTTTTTCATAAAATAGTAAGTAATTACCAGGACTTTCTAGCTATATGGTAGATGTTTGTGGTTATTCATTTCTGAAAACAAGTATTCATATAAATGTCATCTGCTGTAATACAGTGATCACCGATTTAAAATTTCAAATCTTTCCAGCAGTATTGAACTGCATAACACCATAAATACTGTAAAAAGGTTAAATTAGCATGCTTATTTTGGTAGGGAATCCTTGCACAGATACACATTTCAGAAATATGACAAACTCCCAGCACCTACCGGTTTCGTTTTTCAACTTCAGCTACAAGCTCATCAGTGGAGAACTGACCCCTTACCACCAGGATAAGGTTCTTAATTACATCTTCAGAGCAATCCACATCTAGCAAACCACCAATAACCACTGGCAACCGACTTGGATTAACCTTTTAAAACAGACAGTATATTGTCACCAAAAGATAACACATTGAAAGCTTTATGTACTAATTACTGTACATTTTTAAGTGCATTGAAAAAAGTTTAAAATTAGTGAACGGCAATTATGTAATATTGACCATGTTCAGACAGTCAAAAATGCATGTGCAAGACAACTGTGCTTACATGTGACCATGAAGAAGGCGGCTCTATCAAGAATGGTAATGGAGATATGAAGTGACAAGTGGTACTGCTAGACATTATCTGTGCCTGTATGTCACGGGCAGCAGCAGAAATCAAAGCAGCTTTTCTAACTTGTGTGAGTGAGGCTTCCCTTGACAGCAACTGGATGGGCAGATTCAGGTGATACCTACAGGTATTAGATTTACACCTGATCTAACAGTAACTGGCAGGATCGAGAAACTGTCGTCTTTTATCTATGGGTACCTTATGATATAAAAGTCAAGTAGCTATATATGTCTATATGAAAAAATGTTGATTTGTACTGATTAGGTCAATAATTTTGGCTACCAGCAGCTAGTTAAAACTAAGGAATTTCTATGTACACAGCCAACAAAAGGATTCCTGCCTTTTGGTTGGGAGAGTTTTTGAAAATCAAATTTTCTCCATATGCACAACACTGTGGCTGGTGAAACAAGGGCGGGTGTCTAGGTAGCTTAGTTTATATCTTTTTCCCCCCCAATGTGTCCCTAAGCAGCGTGAAGGCTACCATTGAATTGGAGCTGCATGGCTTATACATGCGTGATTCAGCCTGGCCTTGTAAACCCAATGAACTTATAGCTGCTAAGCTGCATTGAAAGCCATTTCATGGGAGGTACTGTACTATAAACTACATGAGACATTCTGGTCATAACATATACAGCATATTATAAATTAATTTACGTCACAAGGTTTATCTGACTACAGCACTAGTCCTTACAATATTTCAGTTGTAAATACCAGGAAATGTTTAATAGAAGATGGAAAAGCAAGCCTGAGACTGAGCAAACAGAATGGTTAACCATTTTATGAAAAAGAAATAACTCTTACCTTCTGTACATAGATCTCAATGTACTTCTGCAGATTGTTTCTGTATAGATACAGCACCAGATCATGTACAAAGTCAAACCGATCACAGACAATTATGAGAGGCAGCTGGTCTGTAAGTTTAGCTTCCTGCAACAATGTATTCAGACAAGTTAAACATGAGGAACAAAGATAAACCTCCATGCACTGCCTAATACTAACCTAGTACAAGATAAAAATGGCGGTACCTGGTTTAACAAATCTTAATTTATATGCAACTAAGGACTTTTACTCAAAACACTCATACGGTTAAAGATTTCTGCAAAACAAAGCTAACATAAAAGTTTCTAATGTCAATGCATGCTGTTATAAAACTGTGTGTCAGATTTATGACTAAATTGGGCTCAGATCTAATGGTCATAATGTATGCTGTATCATGCTACAAGGATGCTGCAGTAGTAGCATAGCTACTAATTTCTTAAAACAAAGGAAAAAAAAAAATAGGAAACCTGGAAGAGCTTAAAATTTTCCACATGACAATCCTACATACACAAATTACACCAAGAATACAGGTATGAAGCCTGCATGAAATTTACCTTGTACATGTCCTGCTCATTCCACAGACAAAAGGAAAAGCACAAAAAATAATAACTTCCATCAGGAAATGGTTTAACACATAAAAATGTTTCTATTACGGGATTTTACTACTACTAAGGATTCTTAGGAAATTTAAAGACTTATTTTTTTATCTTTTTAACAGGTAACGGAGTTCATGACACAACACTAATGACAGAAGACTGTTTCATATGGAAATAGTTAAGTCTGTGCTCTATGCCTTCCCCACCTTGAACTTTAGAACCTGATGTGTGAGGACTAGCAAAGCCTAGGAGCAGTTACCAATAGTCTCACACCCTTTATTTTAACGAAAAGATAAAATAATTGGGCTGAGAAAAAAAAAAAAAAAAAAAAAACTCAGAACTTAAACACCATTCTAAACCAAGTAGAAGAGATAGACCTTGTCAGTTAGGAAAGGATACAAAGTATGTTCAAAGTCAGGTTCTTTAGGGACTGGAATGGCATCTCACTAATTATAAGCAGTATATTTATGTACAGTATTCTCAAAGTTTTCTAAAGAAAACTACCTTACATATATGCTCCATCATTATAATCACCCAGAATATAACATGTACTATAAGAGAAGGTCACTACACAACTCCTGGATACCATGGCTCCCCATATAATTATGTGATATTTCAAATATTACTTGAAATTGAAAAAAAAAAAATGCTAAACAGCTTACGAACTTTGTTAAAGTAAGATAGAAAAAGTTCTAAGAGGGTTTAAACAATTTATTTCATAACAGGATAAAAATTTAAATCTGGAGAGCCTAAATATTAAAGTATGTTAGACAATATAATAAATCCACTGACGGAAAAAAAAAAAAAAAAAAGGACTATGGCTTAAACTGGCGTGAATAAAAGTCTACTCAATCTACAGTATATTAAGTAGCCATCTGCTGTGTGATAGGCATCTCACATCTGCATCCTCCTGAAAATTAAATACATTTTTATATCCCTTAAAGAAAAAAAAAAAAAATAATCGAATTCAGCTCATGTTGGAAATCTTTTATGCATCTTTTTTGTGGCATGGCTTCTTTAAAGAAGGAGCTACAAGTTCTAAGCATATAATGTGAGGGAAGCTATATCATAGCTATGTACTCAGAGAGCTAAAGGGAAAATGACACTCCCTTGGAGTCTGCCTGCAACATAGTGATGATATGGATTCTACTGTTATCACAGAAAGTGCATTCTTGCAACGGTTTCTTCTCCTTTCCTACTGGTATGGTGTGCAAACAAACAATTTCATACAGAAAACTGAGCCTTTTGTACTGCAGACTCCTGCTTTACTTCTTTATTGATAAAGATTAATACAACCCCAAGTCCAAAAAAGTTGGGACACTTGTGAAAAATCTACATAAAACAGAATGCAATTATGTGCAAATCTCATAAACCTATATTTTATGCACAACAGAAAATATATCAAATGTTTTTAAACAGAGAAAATATACCTTTTTAAGAAACAAATAATTATATTGTCAAATTGATGACAGAAACATGTCTCAAAAATAGTTGGGACAGGGCCACAAAAAAGTTGGCAAAGTACGTGGTACTAACAAGGAAGAGGTAGAACAACAATTTGCAACTAATTAGGTTAATTGGCAACATGTTAGTAACATCACTGGGTGTAAAAAAAAAAAAATACTCAGTCAGTGTCTGAGAATAAAGATGGGCAGGTTCACCAATCTGTGAAAAGATCTCTAAAAAAAAAATTGTCAAAAAAATTCATAATGTTCCTCAATGTAAAATTACAAAGACTTTTAAATATATCATCTACAGTACATATCTTCAAAAGATTGTAAGATTCTGAAGAAATCTGTGTGCATGGGAGAAGACCAAAATGCAATATTGGATGCCTTCAGGCCCTCAGACAGCACTGCATTAAAAACAGGCATAATTTTGTGACAGACATCACTACAATATATCTGAAATACTTCCAAAAATCACTGTCTGTGAACATAGTTCACTGTGCCATCCAAAAATGCAAGGTAAAACTCTATCATACAAAGAAGAAGCCATATCTGAACATGATCCAGAAACACCACCGCCTTTCACTAGGCCAAAGCGGATTTAAAACTGTCTGCAAGGTCTTGCATATTTCAGCAGGACAATGCTCAAATACAGACTGCATCTATGACAACAGCATAGCTTCCTAGTAGTAGAGTCTGGGTACTTAACAGGCCTGTCTGCACTCCAGATCTTTCACCAAACTAAAAATATTTAGTGCATATTGAAACGAAAAATAGGACAAAGATGACCTAGGACTGTTGGGCAGTTAGAATCCTATATCAGACAAAAATAGGAAAAAACATTCCTCTGCCAAACTCCAGCAACTAATCTCTTCAGTTTCCAGACATTTACAGAGTACTGTGGCAAGCAAGGCCCTGTCCCAACTTTTTTGAGACGTGTTGCTGTCATCAATTTCAAAATAACATTTCTTTCTTAAAAGGGAACATTTTCTCAGTTTAAACATTTGATATATTTTATATTGTCAATAAAATATGGATTTATAATCATTGCATTCTGATTGTGCAAAGCATTCCAACTTTTGTGGAAATGGGGTTGTACTAGATACACATTTGTTAACTATTCAACTCTTGCAGATATTCCCTGCTTTTCTCCCCATCTACCTTGGATAGCTTTGACACACTTGGTGGTCTCCCTCTCTGTGAATATAGTACTGCATTGCCACAAAAAAGGGAGGCAATGTGTTTAGCTCCCAGTACCTATACTACAGCCTAGCAAATAATAGTCTGGTCAACACAAGTACACAGCCTACAAGACCACACAATCTTGTGGCTGTATGTACATGTATAACTCTTAAAATATAAAAACACCATAGGCTGGTCTTTACGGTTTTCCCCTCATACCAATGTTTCCATAATAACTTAACGAATTCTCTGCACCATAATAATGACACCTAAACTTTGTCTGACTACTATGGCAAACCTGACCATTTTACTTTCCTGCAGATTTCAACCATGAATCCACTAAGCTTCAACCTTTATTACCATAACCTATCCCAGGAAAAGGACATACAACAAAAAATAAGTCAGAGTTTTAGTCAAACACTTTCAATATAATTACCTTCAGGAAGTTCTTAACTCTCTCTGGATCATAACAATTGCTCTCTCTGCAGATTCTCTCAACTTCTTTAATCTGTCCTGTTTTGCATGCTGCCTGAATATATTTGAAGTGAACATCAGGATCCTGACTAAAGTTGACAATGGAACCCAAGAAATAGAAAAGTCCTGGAATGGGAAAATAAGTGAATAAAAATTTAGTTTATTCAAGTAGTCATATATGATTCAACGGTAAATGCATTAAACCCAATTCTAGACAGGGCACGAGTCCCTTGACCCCTCCTCTCTAAGGTGCTCTGGCACACTTTACCTCGTCACATACAATGCAGGACTAATGGTCCTGTACTGCGTGTGATGAGGGGAGCCCACAACCCAAAGCATCAAGGTGAAAAAGGAAAACACTAGAGCAAGGAACACTAAGTATCCAGCCTCTTCCTCTACGCTCTCTACGTTACTAAGCATTTATCCCTTTCTTCCCGGAGTTGGGCTTTAACATCACGGCAAATACATTTGTGCCCATAAATCTCTGGCAAAATAGGCTTACAGTAGCTATAGACACAAGTATGACCTGAACCACCCCCTTACAGATGGATATGGTAAACACTTGTATGTCTCAGCACTCTGCATCCAGTTTAGACACTCTGACTATCCAATCTCATGAAAAGTAATGACAAGTAGAAATTGATTTTTGTCAGTTGACCACCATTGTTTTTCCAAGATACAATCACAACAGGGTTGTCCAGTCAGAGCAAACATTCTCTGTACAGAACAATCATGTAAAAGTTCAATCTATCAAACTCTTTTACATTTATAGGAACAATACAGATGAGCAATTTTTAACAACCAACACCACAACTTATGTCAACTAAAATCTATACTAAACTGTACTCTGCACATCGCTCATCTTTGAAATGCTTTACCTAATACGGCTAACTATAACAATGTTTTTTCACAATAGAGACACACGGAAATTGAGAAACAGAAAAAACTAACTAGAAACCTAAAACACGGCCTTTTTAAAACATTTTATTGGACAATAAGAAAGAAAAACTACTGCGAAGCTCTTATTGTAATTACATCAGCTTTATCAGAGGATTTCTTCGAAGCTTACATCAGTTCTACATTAATATTTTATGAAATTTAATAGATTTAATTTTACATACCTTCAAAACTCTTGAAGGATTCAAAGAGTTCGATGAGTGACTGAGTAGAGAGCTGTTCATGGTACTTGGAAGCTACCTGGACACAGATCTGCAGATTTTGCCGGATATTTGCAGACAGCATTGCACGTAAGCACTCCAGAGAGTCTTCAACTGACAGGGAACCAAAATAGTTCACCAGCCACTAAAAACATAAGAAACAAGCAAGATTCATTATTGTAATGCATGGCTTGTTTGTTGGAGTTTCAGTAAAAACAAATGGCATCTTGTTTTTGACAACAGAATTAAACGTAATCGGGTAAATTGACAATCCTTTGGGTTTTCCCAGTCAGATAAACTAGTATGAAGTGAATGTAGTAAAATTACCATTGCTATGCATAATAATCACTGTCTACAACAACATTCTCAGCAGATTAAGCTAGTCATTAAACAGAAGCACTATCATGGAGGTAATTATTATGATTGGGTCTATCAAATAATAATTTGCCTTAAAGATGTACAGGTACAATCTACATGTTGTCATCCTCCTAGTTTTACTACTTAGTGAGTCTCAGACTAATAAGCATGCAGCCTGTGAAATTTGAAAATTCTCATCCTGCATAGTTTATTCTAGGCCAGCACCTCATAATGTAGTGAAACCAGAATCAGAGCCCTGAAGCCAATGACGTCAAGTCAAATGGCAGCTTCCACATTACTAACCTCACAGGTTGTACTAGAAGACTTCAACAGGCAATTCTTCTACAAAGTACAGCTACATTTATTTTCCTTATTCTTTAAAGCAGAACTAAACCCTCCTATCGTTTTCAGCCAAGGAAGCTGTTATCTTAGGCTCTTGTTGGATCTTCAAATGCCATGGTGCGGCACATGTTATCAGTTAGGACACCAGCCATTTGTTGGTTTTAAAGTTTGGTTAGAAGCACAAGCAAATGCGACAGTTACATTTCCAGCACGTGCCGGGAATGCAACTTTTTCTTCTGAAACGGTTCATTGATGGGTTTAGTTCCGCTTAAAAACAGTTTATGAATAGAAGTTCAGGAATAGTTAAAATGATAAAAAACTGTCTAAATGTAATTTTTTTTTTACTCCAGTAGCTAAAAAACTGACACCTAAAGCTGGCCATAGATGGATCGAAATTCAATTTGACTAGATATAAAAACAGAATTTCAGGTGTTTAAAAGTTTTCATCTTCACAGACTCCATTTATGGTCCACGAAGTGTCATCCTTTGAACCTATGAGGATTCATGCGGAACAGTACTGAGGAAAGAGCTAGAACTGACAGAACAGATGCACCCTATGACTATAAATAGATAATGCACAACTATAGTAAAAAGAAAATTACAAACCTGTGACCTGTCTGCACACTTGACAAAGCATTAGTACAGATGCAAAAATATGAGGAAAGGGGAAAATACCAGTAGATCACTTCTTAGGCCTCACACGGGGGTCTGCTTAGCCCCACTAAATACTTTTTTCTCCTGGCAGGAGAAAAGCTGCTTAAAAAAAACATAATAAAAGCCACGTATATGTGGTTAACCACTTGCCCTCCTGAGGATATTTCCCCCCCCCCCCCCAGGCCATTTTTTTTTTTGCGTTACTTTGACAATTGTGCGGTCATGCAACGCGGCACCCAAAATAAATTTAAGTCCTTTTTTCCCCACGAATTGAGCTTTCTTTTGGTGGTACTTGATTGCCTGTGCAATTTTTATTTTTTGCTATATTAAAAAAAAAAAAAAAAAAGACTGAATTTTGAGGGAAAAAAAAAAAACAGGTTTACTGTCTGCTGGGTGTGTTTTACTATGGGGCCATGTGTTTGTGCTTCACTGTAATCACACTGCTTTGCTTGTCTGTGCACAGCCACCCAAAGCAGTGTGCACGAGCGACAGGCATGAGAACTTTTTTTTTTTTTTTTTTACAAACCGTTCTCCTCTCCATCAGAGATGCTTGGCAATCACCGTCCAGGACCCAGTGATTGACAGCCGTGGCCGCGAATGGCGGCACGGGTAGGGTGCGCGCACCCCCTACCCGGAAATGCAAAATCACACATATATATATATATATATATATATATGCACATGATTTTGCGCATCCATGCCGCCCTGTAGCCGTATATCTGCTATAGGGTGGTCGGGAGGTGGTTAAGTCTTTTAAAGCATTTTATTTGCCAGAATGTTAATTTAAAACTATCCATTAGAAGGCATTAACGCGAGAATGCACCATGTGTGTTCTGTGTTTTTTCTGCTCAAAAACTCCTTGCGTGCTTGTTGATTTTTTTCTTCAGCCTGTAAACATTCCTCTTCTAATACACCTGTAAATGTGCATGGACACACAGGCGGAGGTGCATTTATAAACTGAAGAGGAAAAAAAAAAAAAGAAAAAAAAAGGCAAATGCCTATAAAAAAAGGGCCTTTTTTTTTTTTTTTTTTTTTTTTTTTTTTTTTTAAGACCAGTGTGCATGAGGCCTTATAGTTCAAAGGTAGTTACGGACGTTTTTATTTAAAACACTTTGTTATTTTAAAAGGTGCACTGCTGCATGAAGGCCTTACCTCTGGATTAAGAAGATGAGTGTGGACAACAGCCCGCTTGATATCATACAGATCAGTGAAGTGCTCTAGAGCTCTCTGAAGCAGACCAGCCTTTTCACAGAGTTGGGCAATGTGAGCACGGTCATAGTGTGTAAACATTTGGTTGCCTAAGATAGCATCTGCAACCTAGAGTAAAACAAACACAATCATCAGCATAAACACAACCTATGTATTATAAATTGCTAAGTAAATTTATCACAGGTACTACAAATACTTTACATAAGTTAAGCTATTGTGCCAATCTCTAGATGGATATACCTGAGGAGCATGCATTAGATTCATTTCAAGTAGACGTGTTTGCAAGGGTCCTTCACTGGGACGATTGTTTTTCAGTGCGTCTAACAAAAATGCAGTGCACTGCTGAATAAGATTATACTCCATGAACACATCCACAATCTGAAAAAGAGAGAAATAAAAAAAATCAGTATTTAATAACCAAGCTAGCAGGTTAGCTAGCTATGATTATGTCAACATAAACCCAAGTAAACTGCAACCTCAGCAGCTTTTTGTGCATCAATTTTACCTGTGTAATATCAGCAAGAGGCTCTTCATCTTGCACCAACATTTGTGCAAACTGCTGGCCTTGGTCTGGATTGATTCTCATGACATTTCTCAACAGGAAAATCCAGTCAGGAGTGTAGCCAACCTGCAGAGAAAAAAGTACATATATAATTGATGAGGAAAGAGAACCTATTTATACTTCAATACTATACTGAGATTTTAAGGAAGCAGCATATCAGGACCTATAATTGAAAGAGGGATTTCAGTAAGGTAAGAAAACGTCCGTGAAAATAAAAGCAGCTAGACTTAAGTATTTAGGCTATTTCATCAATTTCTATGCCATTAAAAAGAAAAGATTCATAGGTATCCTGGTACTAAAACAGCATACAAAACAGGACATCCTGCAGAATCGGCCAAATATAGACAAGCATCAATTCTGCATAAAGAAAAGTGCTGTAGAGGTAAGAGTTATGTATGGTATATACCAGCGTTTCTCAACCTTTTCAACAGAGGAACCCTTGAAATAACTTTTCGGTCTCAGGGAACCCCTGCTAAAAATGACTATATCTAAAGCTCACATTATATTAGTGTGATGGTCAATGGTCAGAGTGCTCCTTACGCTTGTGGTCAATGGGAAGAATTACCCCTTAACAGATAGCTTAAACGATCAATGGTGTCAGTGGGAGCTTATCTGTGAGACAGAAATTGCTCATTGCTCAAGGCAACCCTAGCAACTTCTGGAGGAACCCTGGTAAAGAAACCCTACATATATTCTAGACAGGGTTGTAACAACTCATTAGTGAAATGTGTGACAAACACTATTAAAGCTCTGGCTTCCACAAATTAAAAAAAAAACCACAAATTAAAAAAAAAAAAAAAAAAAAAAAAAAAAAAAAACACTCACCTTCTTAGCATACAACACAATCTTCTGAACCTGCCCAGTTTCTGCAAAGCACTGAATGACTTTGTTGGGAACATTGGCCCTCAGGTAAACACTTAAAGCTAGTGTAGGGTCCACAGATTTCACTAGATCCCCCAGTTCTTCTGAACACTCCAGCTAACCATAAGAACAAAAAAAAAATTCAAGTTATAAATCAAAATATTGTTTGAATTGATTTTCCAACTTGTATGTATTTTACATTCTAACACTGCTGCAATATTTAAATTTTAAAGCACATCATCATCTGGAAAATGACTTGCATCGCTATTTCATAGACACTAAAACAACCAGGAACATGAATACAAGCTTGGAAGGTAAAATTATAAATAAGCCTGAAATTAAAAAAAAAACTTGTGTCCATTAGAGGTATGTAATGTCAGTTGACATCAATGGGGTAAATGGCACTCATGAAAGTCCACTATTCTGAACACGTGTAACCAATTTTAACGCTACCGAGTTGTGAACTAAAGTGACATCTATTCGGTGTCTTTCACACTATATACATACATATAACTGATGGAAGAGACGCACAGATTTGACTTGCATAGGCTTCATCACACCATGTGCAGAGGCGTGCATATTTATTATGTACGTCTCTGCAAGGACACAAAGAAAACAATTGTTTTCTATAGGTCTTGTTCACACCATTTTTTCTGGGCAGAGATATGCAACAAATTTTCTGTAAGGACACAATGTGATTTTTTTTTTCAGCACTACATTAAGTGCATAACATGAACCAAGTATTTTAAACTCCTGTTCCTTTCACATTGCTGCATTGGACTGCTAACATTTTCATAAACTTTAAACATCTAAAATAAAATATGCAAACCCCACTCTTCCCTAATAAACATGTTAATGTAATAAACAGCCTTAATAAAACTATTTTATTTAAAGATAAATGACAGATTTGAAATTGATTAAACTGCATTAAATAAAATTGTGGGTTTTTTTGTACGTGTGCAGTGACTGCAACTAAACATCTGAGATGTCTCATGTAAATAAAGTATTTTAAATGGCTAAATCCACCTTTTATACCATATTACATCCAAATTCTGGGGTGTAACATGGCACCATGAGGTACCCTCCCCTCCAACCTCTTACAGAGTAATCCAGAGGCTGTTCTCCTCTGCAGCTGCTGTCATTTTCACAGCCACATCATTCATATACAGAGATCAAAGAAAGTACAAACTACAAATACCATCTGGGAATCATACTACTGCATTATTAGTCAATTGACACTTATTCTTGCTTTGTAACTTTGGCATAAAGCTGGAGAAAGTCTTCAGGAGCCTGTGCACTGCATCCACGGTAACAGTTGCAATGCCTTGCAAGCACAAATGCAAACAAAATAATATATGCACAATTTTTTCTCCTCTGCAAATGTTGGTGCATTTATTAATTTGAATTTGCACTGTGCAGCCAATATAAACTGTGCTTTAACCTCTTGCCCTCCAGAGGATTTACCCCCCCCCCCCCCCCCCCCCCCCCCCCCCCCTTGACCAGGCCATTTTTTTGCGATAGAACGTTGCGTTACTTTAACTGACAAAATTGCGCCGTCATGCAATACTGCACCCAAATGAAATTCATGTTCTTTTTCCCCCCACAAATAGAGCTTTCTTTGGGTGGTATTTGATCCCTGTGTGTTTTTATTTTTTGTGCTAAATAAAAAAAAAAAAAAAAAGTCAACAATTTAAAAAAAAAAAAAAAAAAAAAAAAAAATTTTTCTTTTTGCTATAAAACATATCCAGTAAAAAATTTTTTAAAAACAAAAATTTCTTTATAAATTTAGGCCAAAATGTATTCTGCTACATGTCTTTGCTAAAAATAAAATTCCAATACGTGTAAATTAATTGGTTTAAGTGACAGTTATAGCATCTACAAATGGCGGAATATATACTGGAATGCTTATATACTAGTAATGGCAGTAATCATCGACTTATAGCGGGAATACCGCATGCATTCTGACACTGGGTGAGAACTGCCACTGGCATCCCAATGACACGAATATAGTGATCAGTGATAATAAAAAGTACTGACACTGTACTAAGGACACTGGGCAGGAAGGGTTTAACATCTAGGGTGATCAAAGGGTTAACAGTGTGCTGTGTGTGTGTTTTACTATGGAAACATGCTGCTGTGCATAGAAATACACAGCAGCATGTTATTGCTGGCAGGAGAGAGATCTGTAGTGTTTACACACAGGTCTCTCCAGTCAGTGTTACTCGGTGATCGCCACTGGAGAATCTCCGGCTGGGACCCGGTGATAGACATCTGTAGCCGCCAATGGCGGCATGCCCCCTACCCAGAAATGCAAATCATGTGTGTTTGTGTGTGTGTGTAACATTGCGCAGCCCTGCTGCCATGTAGCAGTATTTCTACTATAGGGTAGGGGGCAAGTGGTTAAAAGTAAGCAAAGCATAATTTATACAATCAAATAAAAAAAAAGGAGGACTTCACAGTCTATTCATGAAAAATGATTTTGAAATTGATGGTACATAAACATTTTGTACTTGGAAGCCACTACTTTCACAAATACCTTGTCTTCCTTCAGCCATTTTTCCAGAAGCTGCTTGCGACCTTGCTGGAGTACAGGTCTACATAACTCCAGAGACTCGTATTTATTGAGCTGGCCCTGATCCAAGAGAATGCCAAAGTACTGCAGGAGCGGTGAGGTCTGACCGGGCTGAGCAGGAACACTCTGAAATCGGCGTATTGTGTCTGGTGTGCGAAGAATACCCTAAAATAAAAGGAGAAAAATGATTACAAAAAAAAAAATTTAAGCAGAGTCATATTTTAAATCAATTTAATAGCCAACCAGCTCTGCTCTACCTGCAACTAGATTACCACTCTTACTTTTTGTACAGCATCCTTGAAAATGTAAAAGTAAAATTGTTAATGAGAACAGGTCAAGATTTCCATAGCACTTGAATAAAAGAAATTCCAGTAATTGTTTTTGGATGTATTATTGCTTGCAGATCACTGGTGCCATGCAGGTCTCCTGCAGATCTGTCAGTATATCTGCTTACCCATATCGGATGTACAAGCAAGCAGATATACTGACAGGAAGATTCAATTAACTACCACGGCTCCACAGCACTCCACTTCATTGAAAACTTTAATCCTACTACCGCCAAGGCTATTGGGACTTGCAATTCATTCATGGAAGTCTGTGAATGCATGACACTGCCATGTGGGTGCAGCCCCACATGGCCACGCGGTTTTCAAATCTGAAAGCAGCATTGGGAACATGTTCCACCCTAAAAACATGTTCCCAAAAGTGAGCTTATCCTTTAATCTGTCTCTGCAACCAATAACACATTAAGGCAAACAAGAGATTATTACCTTTGGTGCATTTGCAGCCACCTTTGCTGCTTCTGAATAATTTCCTTGTGCAAACAGAGCATTAAATTTGCGAGCAAATAGTTCCTCAGCACCAGCCAGATTGTTGCGGACAGCCATACGCAGAGCTAGGTCAGGGTTCTGAAGAACATTGGTGATGTAAGGTATAATATTTTCTTCTTCTACGCAAACAGAAAGCACCTGAAAAGAGTAAATACATAACTATAAAAAACATGAATTTGAAAAACACAAAACTCGACTACAGAGGAGTAACCACTACAATGCAAGCATCATCCTTAATAAAAACAAACCCTGCCTCACATCTTAAGGAGACCGGGATGCAGCATTGCCCTGAACAGGTCTTGCCTTGGGCTTTTTGGAGGGAGAAATCCAACAAAATAACAGTTCAAGCCTAAAACAATATGTGGACATAATTACTGTGTTTGATACAAAAATGATACTTTATAATTAACTAAGATTAAACAACTATGTTACCTGGCCCTTTCTGTTCACGCCAATAATTCCTGCAGTGGCTTCATGGGGTGCGGTGACAAATATGGTCTCACCACTGATTCTGTTCATATAGATGCAGGTACCAGTTTCAAGGTCATAAAGGTGAATGTATCCGTATTTTGTAATCAAGAAGACAACATCATGTTTCCCACTGATCTGTAACATTGAACATATGCACAGAGTTATTACTGTTGAAAATTAAAGCCTATTTTATCATTACTATTAAGCGACAAAAAAAAAAAAAAAAAAAAAAAAAAAACACACAAACTTTATATATAAGTGGTTTACGATTAGATGGCTATTGTGGAGGAATTAACATACCTGCATTGCAACAGGAAAGTCATTCTGGGCTTCTGGAGGAAAGAAAACATCTACAGCTTTCTTTGGGAAAGGCTGGTTTCCAGTAGGTGGTGTTCCAACTTCAATAATATGCAACTGCAAATAAAGAAATGAAAATATGCAACTGCAAATAAAATATGTAAAGTGTAATTCCCTTTGTTGAAGGGAAAAATAAGCAACATATATTTCTAGGTCTGTAATTTTCACTGCACATGCTTGCTGGAGGAGAGGAGATAAGGGAGCTAGAGAGCAGGAAGTCCTGGGAGGTGAACAATTTAAATATTTGGGAAGTTGGTGGTGTGGCTGAAGGCAGAGTTGTAGATGGCTTTGTATGTTGTTGTTAGTATTTTTAATTTTAAACATTGGGTACACAGAAGTCAGTGGAGGGGGATTGGCTGAGAAGGGCCACAGCCACTCACTGGTTGGCAGGATGGATAAGTCTAGCAGCACCATACACGAAAAATCGAAGACAGGATTGCCTATGTAAAAATAGGCAAAGGAGCTGCAATAGTTGGAGGCAAGAGATAATTGGAGTGCAATAATAGCTTTCAAAACACAAATGCTCTTTATGTTTCCTTAGTTACAAAAAACATTTAAATTTATCATTTTAGAAATTCAGACAGATGAAGACAAAAGTTAAATTCTTAATATTGAGTCTTTAATTAGTATAATGTACAATTTTCCCTTTCCTCGATCTCCGCGTAAAATTTATGCTTTGGTAGCCAACAGAATTGTTGTACCAACTCTTTAGTTTGTGTAATCATAATGATGCCAAGGTTGCAGGTTCTATCCCTCGGATAACATTTTCCCAAGTCATACTTGCTCCTTACTGTGTAAGAAACAGGGCATTACATTTCAAGCATTATGACACCTGTAAAAGGGAAAAAAAAAATGTTCCAACTTGCAAAAGCATTTAAGTATGCTTAATGCTTGGAGCTTCCAAGTATTTTTTGGATGGAACAAATAGGAATTAGAACCCCTGTCAGGTTTTTATTGCGGTCTGTTCCCCCATTAAGGATAGTCACTCTCTCTATTTGTCCTGTTTACCATTATCATCGAAAGTGAAAGTATAGAAAATCCCAAATTTTGGGATAATAAGAGGGGAAAACTTCCAATGGGGACATTAGGTCTAGTTACCTGTTGGTCCCCAAGAGATCCCTTTAATTTGCAGGGATTTCCTCTCTAACCTGTTGGACTATGGGACAGGAAGTGAAGAGAAATCTCCAACATGGGACTTGGCAAAAAAAAAAAAAAAAAAAAATCTGCCAAGATTTATAATCCACCCTTGCTTTATCCAAAATAAAAAAAAAAAAAAAAAAAAAAAGTTTTGTCTATAGTTCTTTCAGGTTTTATCCAGACACACATTGTTGGATCCTGTGTAAATCTAACAAGCAGACTCCTGCCTGTCAGGTGGAAGCATTCAGGTGGCTGTGCTGACGCCCAATTGCCTGCTCACACCCTCCATAACGTCTCCCCCCACCCATGTATCCCTTGTTGCCGATTTGCTGACCCGGAAAACGACATGTTTGACATCACTTCCCAGTCCCCATATCAGTTTTCCCCGGCCAGTATGACCAGGAAAGAACATACTGCAATGCGATCTGCACTGTATTACATTCAGTGAAGCACAGAGGAGACATTCAGGGTCTTTTAGACCTTGGATGGCTCATTAAAGAGAACCTGTCAAAAAAAAAAAAAAAATCACCACATTAGGGAATTGTTGTCCCTTATGTGATCCATAAAAAAAAAAAAAAAAAACCGGAATTTTAAATAATTAAAACTTGCACCCAAGCACATAAAATCACCCCCCCCCCAATTTTTGATGCCCCTCCCCCCCCCAACCCTCACATAAAAGCACATCCAAAGTAAATGCACACATTGGGGTTGCCTACGCATGAAAACAATTGCAATACACATGTTACATGTTACCACACACTCCAGAATGAAAGCAATTTGGAATACTAAACTGATGACCTACAGGGGGCCACACAGCTGCTGATTGATTTGGGCTTCTTAATGTAGTTACACCAAGTCTCTGAGCTTGAAAATATACTCTTGCAACCACAGCATTCCAAACTTATTTCCATGTATTACATTTGCCTGCTTCATTCCAGGACTAATCGTCTTAACCAGACCAAAACCAGTTGGAGGAGGGATGTGCCTGATTTGACAGTAAGTGTGGCAGGAAGTTTTAACTTTACAACCTCCTATGGTTATCTCGAGAGAGTTACACAAACAAAATTCCTAAAATTGCTCATATTATACTCTGTATATTCTTTGTAAGATGGGTAGACTTCCTTCTCCCACTTGTACCAAATGCTCTGGGGCAGTAGGGTAATTTTACCATATGGTCTGGGAATGCCCACCTATACGTGTCACTATTTATACCAGTACGATTCTTCAGCTCCCTACTATATGTAGTCTTTTACATTGCTTATTAGGCTATGTGGAAAATGACGCACTCCCCAATGGGACGAAAACACTTCTATGCCTACTATTTTTCTATGCTAAGAAATCTGGACCTGGGATGTTGATATCTGGCCCTTTTAGTTCACTACTGTACTATTATGTATGGACATAATGCGGTCTGTTTCTGCTCTGAAAATTTGTCTGGTGTCTTTTGGTTTACTTTTATGGTATGTTTAAAACAAAAGAAAAAAAAATTGCCTGTCTATCTAGCCAGTAAATAACAAAAAACTAAAACAGATGTTATAGGCTACTGTTTTGCCAGTGATCTGAGCTCCCGGGGAGGCAGTAGGCATGGTTGCGATAGCAAACAGTATAGCTGAAAGAAGACAGTAAAGTACAGCAAACATACAGGAGCCCAGAAAGACTCTAGGAGTGAAAACTCTTACTCCGACCCAGTGATTTTTTTTTTTTCCGACAGTAAATTAAAACTACATGGGCAATTTTACCTTTCCGCCTGCTTGTCCTCTAACTGCAAAGCAAAACAGGGTAGACTCTTCAGCATTTCCTTCCATTTTGAATTGAGCAAAACTGGCTGCATGCCCCTCAATCGGTTGAGACACTTTCCTGTCAACAGAGTACAGCTGCATAGCTCCAACAACCCGATTTTGCTGCACAAGGAGAAACAAGTGCTCAAGTTAATAGTTATTGAACAACAATTAGCCACATAGGTGCTCTACAAGTGAGATAGCGTTGCCCCCTACATAAAGAATACATTTCAATTATGCATAAAAATAATTTAGGCATTTTATATAAATTTTAGATGTTTTAAAAGATAGAAAAAAAAAAAGGGATGGATTTTCTTGCAATTTATGGTTCTTTTCTCCCATTTTGTTCATATGCGTTTTGTACAGGGATAGGCTATACATTTCATTTGCAGGTAGTTTATTGATGACATTCATTTAATACACAGTGTAGACAAAATATAGATACATAACCCAGGGGCTGAAGGGGGGCTGCATGCAGGTTTCTCATCTTAATGCATAGAATTCATCAAGGTAAAACAAAAACCTTATGCCTTTTAGAACTGCTTTAATTCTACATCTGATGTAAAGAGCATGGATAAATACTGGAAACAGTAGTAGAGAGCTGATATAAATCCATAAATCTGAGAACAGATCTTAACAGTATATCTTAAAAACAAAACAAAAACACACAGTCAAGCAAGAGATCCCTGTGTATTAATGCATGTTCTAACTGCTTAAGTTCTCTGTTGTATGTTTAGTAGATCCATAGGATTTCAAAAAACTATGCCTCAGTTAACTGTGAATATTTTATAAATTTAGGTTGAAGCATCCAGACATACTTCTTACTGGAAACAATAGCAAACTGAATTTGTATTAACTTGCTCACAAGAATGGATGTGTCAAACACCCACATCCCTCCCTGTGTCAGAGGATGAGTCATTCTGACAGCCATGCTGTGAAGGGAGGCAGCATTTATGTAAGAAAGGGAGCATGTGGCCCCTATTTTACAAGACTTTCTGCATGGTTCTGTATACATGTATTGTCTGATCATTTAGAATATTCATCACAAAATACTTCACCAAAAGTAGACCCAAAAACAATTGTTCCACCTTCACAGAGACATCTCTCACCTGAGCAGAAATTCCTGTTAGAAGCAGCCACTTCTGCTTGGCATCTGTTCGGTAATTAATAATCTGGCATCCTGCCAGGCTGGAATGCCGGTCAAACATCTTCACTGGCTGCGACTCTCCCTCCATGCTCCAATGATACACAGCATTGTCGGTTACTAAAGCAACAGTGTTCAAAGAGATCCACTTCCAAAAGGTGACATCATCAGTCATGGTATGAGCCTTCATTTTGCTTTTCATTTCAATGTTAAAGATCTGAAGGGTTTTCCCGGCTGCAAAAACAAAACACGGGCCAATGATTTTCTTTTCTTCCCCAGCTTTTACAACAAATGCCATGTTACAGTATGCATACAGTCACAGCATTTTGTAAATGCTAAAAGATCAACAAAAATAAAATGTGATCATTAGGACATTTATGTGCACAAAAACACCTAAGAGGGTTGTTCTGAATCTGTGTATATAGATGGGAAAGCTTCAGAAAATTTTGCTTTTTTGTGTGCAAAGGCTTTTGATTTTAAATGAAAAACAGAGAAAGGTGTAGGATGCATACTTCCAAAAATGCTAGTTATCTGGCTCTCTATAGCATCAATACTTTCAGTGACAGGCTCAGAACAAGTATAAGAAGAAAGTCAGAGCAAATCAGAGCTCCTGATTTGCATACCTTCATGCAGTATTGAAACCATGGAAGCCAGGAAACTAGCATACTTGGAACAGATCAGTTATGGCAGCCTACTAAAAAAAAAAAAAAAAAAAAAAAAAAAAAAAGGGCGAACCACCATTACACACGATATCTCATGGTAGCATCTTGTCCATTTAAAAGTGCATCAAAGACCAAGGCCCTTTTCACATGAAGGGTCCAATTAGGTCCGCCTGTCAGTTTTTCAGGCAGACCTGATAGGGTGGTCTATTCACCCCTATGGACCATTGGGTGTAAACGGACTTGTGTGCGTTTACAACCGCCTACCTCCAATCCAATACGGTCCAGTCTAGGCGTATCAGAGGGCAGCCGGAGTAAACAGTCAATGGAATCTGTTAACACTCGGCTGCCTATAAGCAGTGCAGAGCTTGACAAATTTGCTTTGAATCTAGGAGCCTCTTAAAAAAAAAAAAAAAAAAAAAGTTTTAACAAAGCTTTTTTCAATGACAAAACCCCTTTTATGTAGCCTTGATGTGTATCTTTACAGATGCACAACACAGGGTACTCCCCTCTGCCATTAGAAGATCGCACTCTCTAATTCTAACACCATGAAGACATTCTTTCCAGTTTCTACAGTGCCCAGGTCAATGACATGACAATGGGGTAGATAGAGTACTACACACCTGCAGCATCTGAATCCAAGAGAGATGTTACTGCATTCCAGCCACTGATTTCCACTCTCTTTCTCTGAAGCTCTCGGATTTAAAAGCTGCACACGTGCTGTGCACCATCTACCCCAGTGCCATGATGTGTAGCTCATCACCTGAAATCTGGGGATAAATCATAAAGAACAAATTTGCTCCTTCATGTATGGAAGCTGCCATTGCTGAGCACATTTTGAAAATGCTAGTTGCTAGGCTTCCTGTGCCTTGAACACACAGTGAAGGCAGTCTGGCTCCTAGGGATCACCCTGAATGACAGAAGCAGTAATAGCAGCTTCCATGTTTCCGTACAGCAGGCCTCCTGTAGTAGGAGTTGAGTGAAGTTGATGCCATATGAACAGGCTGGCTGTGTGCAGTGTGTGCCCAGGCCAGACATGCTGGTAGGCAGGGGATTACCACCTCACATTCCTCCCGGCTCAGCCTCTCCTCCAGCCACCGGAGCAGGGAACTCTGGTGTCAGGAACTACTGACTCCAGAGCCCCCATGCCCCTGAGCCAGGTATGTTGCAGCAATACCTTGGGGAGAGGGCGGTAGCAGCAGCAGGGATGATGGGCCGCCGGGGATCCCCAGATGGTTTGGACTCTGCTGGTCACTAGCTCCTCCTGCTGTGTCATCTTCATCCCCAATGACGCCAGTGCCCAGCAGTGCGCTCGTGTCCGGAGGGCCTACGAGGCCTGGGCTGTCTCCACTCTTCTGGCCAAGACCCGCCCCACAGCTCTCTCTCTGTAATGGCAGCTGAGGCACGTCACTGACAAAAGCCCCAGGTGCCAGGACGCAATTTCTAGTTGCAACGGCGATCTGGCACCTGTTGAGCAATGGAGCAGAGGATCAGTTAACAGAACCCCTGCTGATCAAAACTGAGTCAGCGCCATGTGAAAGGGACCTAATAAATAAATGCAATATTTTTTTACATAGGAGCCCGAAAAGCACTGCAACCACAGAGCCACTCCATTCAGCAGGGGACCTGTGATCCCCTGCTAAATCATAGCTGAATGGGACAGCTGTCAGTTGTATTTACAGTTCAGTTTGTCTGCATTTACACAGTGGACATGGGCGGACCTGTGATAGCTCTCTGGGCAGCTAGATGTAAATGGACTGGAGTCCATTTACATCAGGCTACCTCCGGAACCATCATGTTTTGGTCTGGGAAAAATGGAAAAGGAATGCATTCTTTTCAATCAAGAGAGATTACCATGATGGAAGAGATGTGCTTCTTCACTTTAAAAGCCCGTTCACACAGGAATGCGGTGCGGGAGACTCACTTGCCATGCTGATTTCCAGTAATGTATTCCAATCACACTACCCTTGCGATCTGCAGCAGGTGTCAGTGCAAAGGTAATAACACCCTAAGCGCAGGTTGCAAATATAGTGCGTTGCCCACACCGGATTGCATAGCACAAAAATTACCATGCGATCCGGTTGCAGTGCGTTTCCAAAAGCAGTGCATACATTACTATGTACAATACAATACTATTTCAGCCTATGTGTATAGAAAACCCTCAGCGCAATGGACCTCCTAATGAACTTGTTCGGCTAGCATATATCGTGTTCCCACGTGTAAAGCATAAATAAATGAAGAAATGAAGCGCAACAGTGTACGTCATCGGCGTACCCTACGCGTTACGGCACTTCATCAGGACGTGATGTATTGCGTAGGGTACACAGATGACATCAGGCCGCAAACCAGAAGTGCGCGTGCCGCCATTTTTTGAAAAGGGATTTCTGCACACTTCTTACAGCAAACACTGTATAGTGAGTTTTTAACCCTGTAGTGTCACAGGATGACATTTTAACGTGAGTTTGACTAGATTGTTTTAAATAAAGGCAGTTTTGAGTGGCAATACTACACTATATTGAGCATTTTTTTTTCACATGGATGTGGAGCGATCTGGAGATGTTTAAAAGTGCTGGTGAAGAGCTGTGTACCAGTATATCCTCTCGGGTTAAAGGGAAAAGCACAGTTTGACCTGTCATTCCTGGTCAAACTTGGAGGTGAGCACAATAGTGTTGGAAGTGAATGAGCACTACGGGGTGCCACAGGAGCACTGTACACGTTTACACAGTAGTGTGTTACACTGGTCTACTTGAAGTACAGCAGATTTAAAAGGGACGGCGTTCCATTTTTTGAGACCATATTCAGATGACACTTGCAGTTGGTGTTTTTGGATCACGATTTATAGGATACATACCACACGTCCACGTGTTGATATTCAAGATTTAAAAAGGGACAGTTCACTATTAAGGACATTTTTTATTCGGTATTTGTGTGCACAATTAATTTATAGCACCGGTTATGTGCAGTTTATGGGACCTATATGTATGCATTGGTAAGACATCTGGTATAGCACACACTGATTTTCACAAGCAGTGTCTTCTGTTTTCACTACTTATATATGCACGTATTATATTGGTAGCACCATATTTTGTAGATATACTGTTGCACTGCATTGCTTCATTTATTTACTATTTCAGCCCATTCAAGATGAAAGTCACAGAACTACATGTGAATTGCACAGGAACTGGACAGTGCTACTATGCAATTCACATGCAGTTCCAAGTGTGAATGGGCCCTAAGAGTGGGTTTACTCCGGACCGCTGAGATTTTGGTGCAACGTGGTTTACCTGCATTTTACACACGGTTTGTGGTGCGACTTCTGTTAGACTGTGGGTTTTCATAAAAGCGTTTCAAAGTCCTGCATGCTGCACCTTTGATGCACTTTCAGAAAACACACAGGACTGCAGAGTGTTGGTGTGAACCCATACTTAGGCTACATTTGCATGATTACAAAAATGAGTCCTGCAACAACTGCATGTGTAAATTGCTGGCTGTGTGAATGGCCAAAAATAGCTGTGGCTACCAAATATCTTTTAATAAAGTGTACAGGGTCAGCGGCTACAGCTATCTGCTCACAGGTGGCAAAAACAGCAGCAGGAAATCAGAAGATTCCTGCTGCTGCCATTTGCGCTGTGGCTAGTTGCTCCATGCAAATATAGCCCTACACTCACACATTTATGATGGAACACAGAAAAATGGCAAGGTTAACACTGGATTCTGTGTGACCCAGTACAAGAAGTTGCTTGTCCCTTAGGTAAATAGGCAAAGCTTAGGTGAATTAATGCATAGACATGGGGGATGTGATCAAACTTGACACTACAAACTGCAGCCACAACATAGGAGTCCATGATTACAAGATAAGGCAAGCAATGACAGGGATTAGAACTACACTAACACCTTAGCAAAAAATATTTGAAAGTGTACAACTCATTAAACAGTTGTCCCTATTGGCAGATCTCTACTCCACGCCTGTTCTGGTGGCAACCCAAAATTTTGGTTTTACCCTTCCTTTCATTAATAGTGACGTTGGTGATCAGAACAATTAGAGTGAATCTTCCTAAACAGGGACCAAGACATCAGTAAAAACCTGACAGCAGTTCTAACCCCTCAACACTTTTCAAACCTAAAATAAATTTTAAAAATGCCTTTACTTTTACTTTAAGCAGCAGTAAACCATAAAAGGTACAGTTACCTCCCTGCTGCTCTTTGCATGAAACACTTCAGCTAACTCTCCATTCTACCCAGTGTTTTTATGTTGCCTGAAGGAATATGGTTCCTGAGCAGGATTCTGTTTGAATTGAAGCAATCATCCCCATAAAAGTCTATGGGGCCAACTAATTCAATTCATAGAAAGCAAAAGGAGAATGCGGTAACATAAATCCTATGGGCAGCATGTGAACTGGGGGGAGTGGGGAGATTAAGCAGCAGCAGTGATCCAGCAAAGAACAGAAAAGAATTAAGTGACAAATTGGCCATCCCTGTTAGAATCAGATTAAATCTCTGCACAGTCTGCCGCGTTTGTAGCCAGACAGGCATTTACACTGCATTGCAGTTGGTACATTAAGATTGTACAGTCAGGCT